TTTTTTTAGGGCATAGACTATGGCTAGCAATTCTTGTTCACAGACCGAATATCTTCTTTCAATTTCGGTTAGCACACGGGAGGCTGTAGAGATAACCAAAGTTTCACCAGATTCTTGTTTTTGACTCAAAATAGCGCTGATGCCCACTTTGCTAGCATCGGTGTGAATTTCGTAGGGTGAATCTTCCCTAGGGTGGGCTAATAGTAAACTATGGGCAAAGCTGTTCCTCAACTCTTGAAAAGCTGTCTCTTTATCTGTGGTCCATGCCCATTTATTTCCTTTCTTCAGTAAAGTTAGTAAAGGGGCTACATAGTCTGAATACTTTACAATAAACCGATTGTGAAAATTGCATGTTCCCAAAAACTGCCGCAACTGCTTTTGATTCTTCGGGGCCGGATAGTTTAGTATGGCTTGGATCCTCGATGAATCTGCGGCTACGCCTGCTTGACTAATGGAATGTCCCAAAAATTTTACTTCAGTAATACAAAATTGGCATTTCGTAGCATTAAGGGTAAAGCCGGCCTCAGTTAACTTTTTGATAACAGTGTTCAGGTGATCCAGATGTTCCTCGAAGGTTCTAGAATATACTAAGATGTCATCAACATATGTTAGTACAAAATTTTCCGTACCGTCTCCCAAAGCTAGTCTCAAAGCTCTCATGAAGGCTGGTAGGGAATTTTTAAACCCGTAAGGCACTCGTTTGTATTGGTAGACTACGGAATCGTAAAGAAAAGCGGTGTATTTCCTGGAGTCTTCGTGTAACTCCACTTGCAAATACGCTGAACTTAAATCCAATGATGACATAAATTTAGCGCCTTCAAATCTTTGTAGCAATTCTTGAAGTGGTGGTGCCCTCTCATAGTCTGGGGTGGTATGCCGATTCACTTTTCGGGCGTCTACGCAAATTCGCGGACTCTTTCCTTCCCTTGGTACTACCGTCAGTGGACTTAAAACGTCGGAGTTACTCAATTCTAGGATGTCATCCTTAATCATGTTTTGGATTTGTAGCTTGACCGCTGGTCTGAATGCAAAAGGTACAGGTCTGGAAAAAGAGCGCAGGGGTTGGTCCGTCTTGACTTGAAAGTGATATTTGAATAAGTGGCACTTGCCCGGTCTCTCAGTAAAATTTGGTAAGAATTGAATAAGTATTTTGAATAATTGTGACTTTTGTGGTGCACTAATAGTCGTGCTTTGTTCTATTATGCGTCTTAAGTCGCCTTCCTTGAGATCTCGGGGATCGAACTGGTCATGTTGCTGCTGCTCCGGGCCCCTTAATGGCCCCTCGGAATGCAGGGTGACATCATCTCTTCCTGCTGCAGTACCGCCGCGTATCTTATCAGGGCGAGGGTATGAGGCTTGAACAATATCTCTTGTGTATGCGGCGGAGTTCTGCTCGCCTGTGTGCCTTCCTTTAACGCACGGTGCCAAAGCGAATTTGGTTATTACACATTGGGCTTTTGTTTGTGGGTCGGTTTCCGGGTTCTCGAACCGATGGCTTCTGATTTGTCCTCGCCGCTTGTATTCTAGTATGCCTGAACCAAAATTTAGTTGCACCTCGTGTTCCTTCATGAAGTTGCATCCCAGGATGACGTCACTATTAAGTTGCGGTGCTACCAAGAAAACTGCTTCGAATAACTCTTCACCAATAGTGAATTCGAGTAGAGCTTGCAGCTTGATCCTTTTTGACCCTTTCCCAAATGCTGTTACTAAATTGACTCCCTGAACGGGAAGTGTCAATATTTCAATATCTGCGTCTTTTAACTGTTCAAAACTTTCTTGAGAGATCAAGTTTACTTCACTACCCGAGTCCAATATGGCTACAACTGCTTTTTTATTCTTAAGTTTGATAGCAATCTGAGGACTTTTACTGAAATTTTCTTCGTTGATAAATAATACTATGGGGTCTGAAGTTTCTTTTTCTGGGATGATTTCCATGGAAGAGGTGGATTGATTTAATAGGCCTGCGCTCAAAGTTTTATTGAGGATGGAAGCGATGCGGCCTTCAACGCTCCCTAGACTTAGTTTTCCTCAGCGTTATCGGGGGACCTTCCCCGTGCGTCATTCTCCCTCTCATTTTCTGGGTTTCTCTCGCGATTTTCGAAATTTCTGTGGTCCCTGGGATATTCATTTCTCCTAAAGTTGCCCCTACCACCAGAATTTCGCCATCCTCCTTGGTAACTTTGGTCATTTTGTCTCACTTGTCTGACTGGTCCTGGGCCTTCTTGCCTATAATTTCTACCTCTGTTGGCTTGGAAGGGGGGTTGGTATTGACCTGACCTTGGAGGGACGTCCGAAACGTCTTCTCTTTCTTCCATTAGTTCTAGTCGCTTTAGCACTTCCAAAAACTCGGCGACTGTATTTAATTTAGTACTGACCAGCAGCTCCTGAATTTTCAACGGGTAGTGACTGCGAATAGCTTCTATAATTTCTTGGTCCGTGAGTCTAGGCTCTAGGTACGAGGCCATGGTAGCAAATTTAAGTAAATGTGCTGACAGGGTCAGTCCTCCTCCCTTTTCATATCTACTCTGATACAACTTGCACTTAACGAGCCCTTGTTGAGCTGGGGACCACCAAGTGCCCAAAAATTCTGATTTAAATTGCTCATAACTGGCTAATTTGGAACTAATGGCTTCTAACCATTGCTTAGACACTGAACCTGTTATGGACCTCTTTGCTACTATCAACCAATGTTGCGGCGGGATTCCTCGAAATTGCAAAAACTCTTCAAGCTGCCCAATATGTAACTGGGGGTTCATACCTTTGCTTTCGTCGAAAGTTGGTAGGGCGTACTCGGTGCTGCCTAGCTTGCCGGAGAATGCAGAAGCGGCCAAACTTCCGGGCTGAGTTTCTAGTCCTGGACTGATGCTTCCTTCTGGTCATGAAGTACCTGGAATTTCTACACCCTTACCTACGGAGTGTTCCACCCTCGGGGGCGTGGCCTTGGACTGTTGTTCCACCTTTTGTTTTAAATTTACTATTTCTTTTTCCAATTGTTTCAATTCATGTTGTACCTTCAATTGGTCACTTTCTACCCTTTGCTCAATTTGCTTACGCTCCTCCCCTAGTCGCCTCGAAAAAGCATCGGCGCTTTCATCAAATTTTTGTTGGACACCTGTATTGGATTTTAACAACTCATGATTTATTTCTTCAACCTTGTTCACCCTTTCTTGAAGTGTGCCCACATTTTCTTCTGTCACAATGATGGTACTATTTATTTCAGCATTACCGATATCTACTCTTTCTCGAATCTCTCTGACTTTCTGTTTTACCTTTGCCATTTCTGATTCCTGATAGTCAGCCAGTTGTTGGATTTTGGAATTCCGGTCCTCTCTTTCTTTTCCGAATTCCTGCTTCACTCCTACTAATTCTCTTTCTAAAGTATTTTCACACTGCTTAACTTCCTTTCCGACTCTACCAATTTCCTTTCTGACCTTTTCGACCTCCTCCTCCAATTTCCCCGATATTTCTTGTCTTAAGGCCTCGTTGGCCTGACTGCACTTTAATATGGCCTGATCTATGCCCTTCTGTAATTCGTTCTTTAACAGTCTCTGCCCCTCCTTCAATTCCTCAGCCAAATTTGCCTGTCCCAATTTTATTTCTGCGAATTGCCGTTGAACTAGTTGATTTGTATTTTCTTGAGCCCGTTTTTGTGTTTCCTGAGCCTGATCTGATCTTGATATTAGCTGCTGTATCATGGCCATCATGCTTTTCATTTGGGAATTTTGGTCGTCACTATCGCTAGTACCCTCTTTCTCCGGACTGTTTGCAGGTGGATCAGGGTTTTCCATTGCTAGGACATTCGGACTAAACTGCATCTCTCTCTCTTCCTCCACTAACTCTATTTCCCCCCTTTCTGCTTCCCACTCTTCGAAATCTGGGGATTTTTCCCGGGAGCCTAAATCCATTTCCTCAGACATTGCTTTGACAGTTCTGCTTCTCAGCCTTTTCTGGGACGTTTTTAATAAACTTGATTTCTACTACTTACAATTGCAGTGATGTATTTTTTTAAACTACTTGCACTTCACCAGTGATGTTTCTCCGCTATGTAGTCTGGCGATGTCGCGGGTTGGTGTGCCCCTAGGTGTCACCTCTTTATGTAATCTTGCGCCACGCGTTGGGCAGCCATCTGCAACCGTCCCTTCTCCGTAGCGTCCTTCCCGTCACCGCTGCTGCTGCTTCTTCTTCTTTCGGTCACTCCCGTTTCCCCTTTTAACACTTTTGTTTTATCTCAGGGTAGGTTGGGCATCAGTGGAGTGGAGGAAACCTAGGAGTTCCTGGTAGGGCATGAGACCCTCTCAGGGTGTTGCACGGGTTACATTCGGGGTGACCCTATTTATTGAATGCCAGACTAACTCGAATGGTGGTTGCTTTTATTTATTTACACTTACACTTGATTACACTTATAGGGGGTTGTTACACTGCTATAACCCACTTTTTCGGATGTTGTTTTGTTTATTCAATTCTTTGAGTATATCCGCACACGTCTAAACTGCTCGAGGTTTGATTTTTGTGTCTTCTACTCTCGGACACGTCCACCCTATTCAATGCCCCACTTTTGTGTGTACACCTACACTTTTACGGATGTCCTTTGTTGTTTCACTCTTAAAATACATCCGGACACGTCTGGACTATTTAATGTCCCCTCTTTGTGTGTCTGCATGGCGTCAGCTTCGCCAAAGCGTGGTGAAGCCAACCCACGCAAATTCCATCTCATAGTTTCACTACTTGGGTAGTGCTAGCTGATTGGTTAAAATAAACTAATTATTTTGAATTTGACCAATAAGATCTTAACTTGCTTGCCCTTAAGGAAAATTGCAACCAAAGCTCTTGGGATTCCCACTGACTTGATACTGTACGTCGGCATTCGTGTGGGGAAGTCCCTTAGCTTATTGCGCACAAGTTATAGCGTGCATTCCTGGGCAAGAGAGGTCCTAAATGGGTTACCTAAGGGTAGTCCTAAGCTCCGTTTGGCTTCAATATACACTACTGAACTGCAGTACTAGTAAAATTTGATACAATATTACGACTCGTTGTTTACATTCCCTACAGTACAGACAATACTTTGTAAGATGATGCACCGACTAAATAATTAACATTGATATTACTACATCTACAACATCAGCCTCCAATAACATTTTATATACACACAAAATATGGAAAACTCCAATTTGTCCGTGGGAACATGACAAAATTACAAAAACCAATGACTTACTCGATGATGTAAAGCATCAATCAAAGAATTTGTTGTTTTATACTATAACTTTTGTTTTATTTATTGTATTTTTACATCAAGTATTTTATATAATTAATAATATTGTATCCAATTTTATTAATACTGCAGTTCAGTGGTGTATATATGTTAGCCATGTATTTGCCTGATGATGGCTATTGAGAGCCGAAACATGTAGCACAGCCAAGACTAGGCACTGATCTTGATATAGTTGTGTTGTGACAGTTTTAATAAAGAAGTTGAACATATATAACGTTTGGAACCTCTCCCAAAGAAAGTCACATGTCATGGAAGCTTAGCAATTCCTCCTTTCTTGCTCACAACTCCCATGCCCTAAGTGTTACTGGGTCCACTTCCAAAGGAGTCCAGTACACTCCACATAGTCCAGTCATAGCGTTTGGATATTTTGTGTCACTGTGAAGTTTTAAAAAAGATCATCTGTTTGGACTTGGCAGAAGAGGTCATGATTCCTTGGGCTGCATTTAGCTTTGTACCAAGCCCCCATAGCACAGGTAGTTAGTCCTCAGGTTTTAACCACAGAGGCCTGGGTTCGATCTCAGTATATTCCATGCAGAATTTGTGGTGGACAAAATGGTATTGGGGCAGCCTTTTATTGAAAACTTTGATTTCCCTCTGCTAATTTTGCTAATTATCATGCCACAATTGCTCTATATCCATGTGTCATCAATGTCTCACTACTACAACCGAGATGGATATGTCAGACTCATATTCCCTGTACACATCAATGTATTTATGTACTGGCAACATTCAGATTACAAATTAAGTTAATTATTAAGATGTGGAAGTATGTCACTTTACTTATGATCAGAGATATTTACATATTCTTGCTGCCTTCAAAATTCAGTTAAATAAATAATAACATGTAGGAATGTTATATTTGTGTCTTATTGTAGGCCTAGGAACATAATGTTAAAATAACTAGTCACATAATTCTCATTGTATGTCTCTCTCATACCTACACCCCAATATTATGTTTCCAGTCAAACAGCTAGATGGCACATGCACCAGAGTCAAAATTATTAACCTGTGTGTTATCAGTTGGACTGCACTCTGCGCAGAATTGAGATATGCCCGAAATTAATAAAGTGATGTCAGCTCACGGTAATTCTTAAATTAATATTTCATATACTTACATCACTATTGAATACTTTTTGGGGTGTCACAATTAAAGCTATTTAAAACATTCAATATACACATATAATAATAATAATAATAATAATAATAATAATAATAATAATGGTGGTGAGGTACACAACAGAACAAGAGTAATGATTGTGTTTTGTACATAGCACAGAACACAGGAAGGCTTACATTATTCATTCCATCAAATTCTCCACAAATAAGAATATCTAACTAATTCTAAATTGTAATCAGCAGTAAAAAATTGTAACTATTGTAATTTTAATCTACTTATATATCAACTGTTAATATTCAGAATTAACTTGACTTGTCATATATCATGTACAATGATCTACAGTGATGAAATAAATCAATCAATCAATCTAATTCTGATACAGCATTCATGACTGAAGTAAATGGCAGACCCTTACAGATGTTTTTTTAATTTTATTGCAATTGTACTGTACCGAATTTATCAAATTATATCAATACAGGAAATTTTCAGCAGACATGTAGCTATTATTTCAAGAAGAGTACATATTAAAGTTCACCCCATGCAGAGACATAAAATGATCTAAAAGGCTTCATAAATATTCAACAGCTCTTGGACTCCTGTATGGCATACACTAGATGAACATCACAAATATATGGAACACAAACAACAATAATAACATAAAAGAAAGAGAAATTATGAATATTGGAACTGGATTCTGCTGTAGTTAGGACCGATGAGAGAAGTGCTACGGCTGGTGGCAAGTGATGGGATACAATGATGACACAAAGATGGCTGACCTCACATAACCTACAATAAAGAAAGAATATTCTTAGTAAACTGGATGCTTTGTCATAATTACAGGAAAATGCTCCTCTGACATGACTCTGTACTTCTGAAGATATATTTTAACCACATTCCATATTCATCTTGTGTGCCACCCTTCTTATTCATCACTTGACAGATTTATGACAAATCTGTGCAAACGGTTCATATGAACTATTTCAATATTTTGGCACCAATAACTTGTGAGAAGACTTGAAATGGGGTATTCTGAAATTACAAATATGCAGTAAAGCAACTATGACTTGAGATGAAAGATTTGTATATCTTTCCAAATTATGAAAAACTCGAAATTTTTTTAATGTGTTTAATATTCTTTTGTACACCCTGTGTTAAAACTTTCCCTTCCCAAATTGGTATATAACTGTCTGTTTTAAGCTCATTTCCTTTTGTATGATCAATGATATTAACCTAGAAAAACATACATTTTCACCACACTTTCCTTTCTTATATAAAAGGGTAGGCTCATGAGATCACCAAGTAGTCTGTCTCCCCCTGTTTCAGCAACTGAACCAGATTTCACAAAATTTGGCCCAAGTGTCAAATTAGGAAGTCACCCCAACATCATACATTTTCTTGTCTTACATTCAGTAATAACACCATGGGAGAGATAAAACTTGTGAAGGGTGAGTGAAACTGCAGCAATTAGACTGGCGTTATAGATTGGTGAATGATCAGCACATATTTGAAAAAAAAAAACACAGCTCTCTTCAAAAATATAGTGCCAAGCAATCTGTAACATGTTTACAATTGCAGGCAATAACAAAATTCTAATTCAAGTATGATTTGACCATATGGTCACTACACATCAGCACAACACATTACTCAATTTCTGCATTTTATGTAATGAGGAGGTTCATTACCATGTTCATAAGAGCCAGATGGATTGAACTTGTCACAGAAGAAAATGGTAAATACAAGAAAAGATCATTGGGGGGAGGGGGGGAACATATTTTCTATTTCAGTAAGAGGCACAGAGTGCCCAAAAAGACTAATATGACACACAACTTCAAATTTTTCTCATTTAGAAAAGGTCCATTCTACATGGAACAAAGTCATATGGGCAAGTCTTGAAAAAGTTGTTCTGAAGGATTTTGTGAAAGAAACTAAACTTTATGCTACATTTTGATCATGTATCTTCATTTTTACTTGTATTAAATTAACTTAGCAGTGCAAAGACTACTATCTCGTAGTATGTATGTAACACAGGGCTGCAGTCCATTTGAATTTCAGCACCGTTTCATAGAAAAGCAATGCCTACATGTTCAGGGTCCAAGAGTAAGCAGCAAGCAAGCTACTGCTGTCAGAACCTCAAATCCAACAGCGTTTCCTGTGTGTTCACATAGCTACAAATATGTACTACAATTTCTACTTTTATGAAAATCCAAAGACAGGCCTTTTCATTGTGGGAATAAATTTTCTTTATACAGCTTGCCCCACAAGAATTGTGTTCTGATGGTCACAAAAATTACATTTATGTAAATCCAAGAACCTTGAGATGTTAAATATAAGTAGCCACCAAGAACAAAAGAACAGTTTCTGAAAAACAACAAAATTTTCTGCACTGGCAGTCTTACTGCATACAGAAGCTGTGCATTCTGAGCCACGCTCTACGTCAAGTCATACTCAAGGCAAGGTTTCCCACCTGCATGAATTGTTCAGAGACCACATATGAGGCTAGCCTCCATGATATCATCCTCGCCTGCCTGCTGCAGGGTTATGGTGACTGCATTGTCACACTGCCCACTGGACACAAGTCTCACAGTGGTGACCCCACAAAATATGGTCTGCACTGTACTGCCTGAAAATAATACAGGAAATTACTGAATGCACCCAAATACCCTGAAAAATATTTAGCAAATTGTGCTCAAAATAGATGCAGGAATGTATGTAGATCATCACATAAAAGTGTCCATTACTGTCCAATTTTAACCCAAACTGGAATGTATCAACAATTATAGTCTACTGTTTCCATCTATAGTACAACAATTAACAACACTGATTCACACTTAAACCATACAGTGGGCGTTATGTGTATAAAATATTATTAAAATATTAGAATATATATGCATTATCACAGTGCTACATGTTTCGGACATATAAGGCCAACATCAGGCAACACCTTTATAAGGAGTCTAACGCAGTGGGCACTAATCGAATATCATTCCTTTCATTACGTCATGGGTGTTTTCTTCTTCATAATCTTTTTGAAATGTGGCTGTTTCTGTATTTCCTTGTTGTGCTGTTTTCTTGACTGTGTGTATCAAGTGTCCCTTTGTGTTCTCTGTATTGTTAAAATTTATATTTGCATTTCAGTGCAATGGTCTCCTCTTACAATTCATGTAGTTATATATATTTGCTTTTATTGTGACTACTATTCATATACTATTATATTTGAGCATCCCTTTGAATTGAGTTGTCACTTAGAGTCTATTGTTTCCATCTATAATGCAACACTCGCAGATAAGACGGGAACACACATCACAAGACACGGTTTACACAGAATATAAGAAAAACAACCCCATAGTGGAAGAACCACATGCAAGTTTTAATTAAGACACATAAGATGAACAATCTTAGCAAGTTTTAGTGTGTGTAAATTTATTATAGTTGACAAATATGCACTTTTTAAATAATTTTATAAAGACACATAAAGGCAAGCAATGCAATAGATTAACGTAATTAGGGCACCTGATGATGGTGCTATGTTGCCGAAACATGTCGTGAGGTAACAGGTGAAACTGAGTGCACTACAAGACGGCCACTGTATACATATGGATGAAAAGAATGATATTCGATTAGTGCCCACTGTGTTAAGACTCCTTGTAAAGGTGTTGCCTGATGTTGGCCTTATATGTTCGAAACATGTAGCACTGTGATAACACATATATATTCTAATATTTTAATAACATTTTATACACATAACGCCCACTGTATGGAATAAGTGTGAATCAGTGTTGTTAATTTTTGCATTATAAATGGAAACAACAGATTGTAAGTGACCACGCAATGCAACAGGATGCTTAAATATAATATTATGTGTCAAAAAGAAACTCTGTGGTTTCAGTTCACAAGCGAACTATGCCAACCAAGCTACCACCGCTTGTCAGCAAAGTCAGTGCCAACTTTAGCAGATAGAGGATGTTGTGTGGTCCGCGCAACAAATCCCCACAGCTGTTAATTTCAGTTCTCTAGACCGGAATCGCTATTTCCTTGAAATAGCTCCTCAATTATACTCATGAGGCTGAGTGGACTCCATTCCACACCCTGTTACTTCTCAGAAAATCTGGAAGAACCAGGAATTGAAATTGGACCTCTGGATCTGTAGCCAGGAACTCTGACCACTAGACCACAGAGGCAGATTGTAATAAACTCCACAATATCAAATTTCATGAGAATTCATTCTGAAGTTGTCACAGATGGAAATACACAGTAAAGCAACTATGTATTTTTGCAAGTTCTTGTTGTGCATGTGCCAAAAAAATATAGAAATTTTGCTTCTGTAATTAACATACCTGGTTTAGAATCCATCCCACAGAGGGAGTCGGCAACTACAAGATGTGTAGTGTCAAGCCCCTGTGAGCCTCCAAGCTGCACATAGTCAGGTAATCCTCGTTTCTGGCACTGAAACACGGCAGATCACATCACGATGGGAGCATACACTACTGTCTCAGGTGAGCCTAAGATAGAAATTTGAGGAGGGGGGGGCACTGTGACAGTAAAACTCCATGCAGTCTTTACTTCAGCCATAGACAGAGGTCAGTGATCAAGACTCTTCACTCTGACTGCTTTACCCACTAAGAACCTCCAACTCTGAGGAAGTAGGAACCTTGGTGGGCCCCAGAATTGGTCTGGACACTGAGGCAAAGGGAAATTTGTCTGTCCCTTCCAGTAATTGAATCCAGTCATCCAGACTGAGCTATCCTGGCTGATATATGTAATCCATGTCATACCAATATATTTTATCTGGAAGAAAATGTAAGTATACTGTTCACCTAACATTATTTGAATAATCTAATCAAGAAGGGTGAAGTGGCTGTGAAATATAAAATCTAGTGAGCAATGAAAGGTGTCTATCAACTTTCAGTCAGATATCCTGAAGAGAAGAGACTGGGATATGTACTTGCAGGCGGGAGGATGATGATCATAATTTGGATCTAAAAACAATACTGTTAAGCTGGGGACTGGACTCATCTGGCTCAGGGTGGGCTCTTGCCCAAACAGCAATGAAATTTCACCTTCCATAATAGGTGTGGGATATAGCGACTGTGAGCTACTGTCAGCTTCTCAAGGACTCTGCTCCACAGAATTAGATTATATCTTTAAAGTATGTACAGTAAGTGGAGGGAATTGGTAATCTTTTAAACTACTTTTAGCTACGTTTCCTGTGCTGTCCAGCCCCCTCCCCATGGTTCAGATGTGTTGGCCTCTTAACTACAGAAGTTCTCTGTGGCAGCTCTGTCTAGCTTCCATTTACTACCTACTCTTTAGGGCCCATCTGACAGCACAAGGTCAAATCAGGCTGAAGAGCGCACACCTGTTTCACTTCCACAACCTTCCCTGTCCCTTTCATTCAATAATCAACTTTGCAATATGTCATGAGCCATCTTTCTGCACAAAGCTGTCTGTGTTCCAAAGTTTCAAAACGTGTGTATGGTAGGTGGAGAGCACTGACTACAGATGCACTTAACGAGAGGTCCATATAATTTGTACAATGCATTTATTTATTTACATACTTATGTATGCAGTGGAGAAAGACCTTTTTCAGAAGCTGATATTCTCTCAGCTAGTCAAAAAATTTGACCCTTTATGGAACCCAGATGTTCATTCCTGAGTTCATAGAAACACAGCACCGAACTTTATCCTGAGAGTTCCATCCAGCCCACCTCCTCATGCACTATGACTTTATGTTTGAAATTCATGTGGAGGGAATGGACAGTGTGAGGACAGAACACAATGAGCAAGACAATACTGGATTGTGTAATATTTGAGGTTTTCATGGTGGTGACTATGAAGAATGCCATCTTCTGGGATGTGGGCCCCCAGAAGATGGGGGCGATACATTCCTCTGAAACATCGGTTCACACAAGATCTACAAGGCGCCACATCCCAGAAGACGACATTCTTCAATACTGGATTGGATGGAAAGTGACATATGCAAGGTTTGACATTTTTCTTGTAATGAAAATATATTGCATATATCAAAATAGTGATATTGATACTGAAAACATGTTAACGGATTCTTCGTAAAAAGATGAAGCCAATCCCCCAAAAAACATAAACATAAGAGAATAAATAAAGAAATGAATTTTGTAAGTTAAGCCAGACAAAGAGATGAAAGGGAATGTTACACAACATGAAGTTTTTTTTAATTCGCTTACTGGGGGTGCAGTTCAACTGGCTCCAATCGGCACAGCGGCCACTGATTGGTCTATTGTACCTGCCCCAGGTGATTATGATGATGAAGAATTCGGTGGAATGAAGATTGGCAGGGGAAACCTAAGTACTCAGAGAAAACCCGCCCCAGCGCCACTTTGTCCACCACAAATCCCACTTCACCAGACCCGGGATCGAACCTGGCCCGCGGCGGTGAGAAGCCAGCGACTAACCACTTGAGCTATGGCGTGGCCCTAACATGCAGTTAGTATAAGATAGGTTGGACATGCAGTGTGCATGGTGAACTGTAAACACATTCAAAACGTTAGCTCCAGATCCCTGGAGGGAAAGAGCATTTATCAGACCTCCTCACCTTGTGGATGGTGCCTGTCTCCAGCCCTTCATCCTGCAGCCCCACATTCAAGCTGAGGACCTTCACTTTGGCCGGGAACAGCGTGGTTACACTGCAGTTCACATGCTTTCCATAGTTACGCAGTGTATACACATCAGCTGTGCCCTCCAGCAAGATGTTGCAAGCTGCAATTGATAAATATGGCAAACATATCTATCATCTTCCTTGAGAGCTGACAGTCGCTCAACTAGTCAAGCCATTCTCCACCTTCCATGGAACCTGTAGCTTCAGTGGCGCTTTTGCAATTTCCTGCACTAGACTCTACAGCTGTTAGACTCATGTGTGAGTACTGAGACATGCTCAGAGAGCAGTGAGACTTACGCATCGAATTCTTGAGGAAGCGAACAGTGAAGCTGAACCCCTTGCCCCGATGCGGCATCCTGTACTGTATGAGTGCTGCGTTTTGCGAGGACTCCAGGACCTGCTTCACTCTTCGCTGTCCGCAGAACTCCCGATACCTCAGGTTCAGTGGCTTGGGGTGGTCTTCTGGACTTGGAAAGAACTGCCCATTCAGCTCCCAGCCATCCACGAACTGCAACATGTCACAGCAACCATATTACGCAACAACCTAGCTCTCTGGCAACAGAATCCAAAGCCGCAGTATCGCTAATAACAAATCTCACCACTGAACATGATCCTCAACAAGATCCATCCTGGGACTGACTCAGCCTCTAACAGATAAGAGTACCAGGAAACTTTGCGGGTGGTAAAGGGCGACTGGCCAGCATGCAAGGCTGACATCACCACCGATTGTGCGGAAAATGTGGCAGCCTCAACGTCTCCCAACCCTATGTTCCCCCACGGCCTGTTACAGGGGCAGTTTCATTTTTTTTTACCCTCCATTTATTCTGCTACAGTAACTGTCTACTTGGCTGTTGTCAACACACATTCGTCAATGCATGCAATTGGGAACTATGTGTTAACAGTTCTATGATCTCTCGACAGAATTATATTGTTTAGTATCGCCTTTGTTCATTGGTTAAACTACTTGAGTTAAAATTAATATATCTCTTTTCTGTATCTGATATTATGGTTCATTAAAATGAAATTTGCCACTCACCGAGACCAGCCCCCCGTTCTGACAAGGAACGTCCAAATGCTCGAAATGCACCTCAACGCGTCTGTCTGGATCTGTGATGATGTACATGCCACACACCGTTGATGTGTCATCAGCGGCTTTGAGGAAGAACTGGCCCTCCTCTGACGTCACCATAATGCAGTCTGCAAAGACAGAGCACGGCAACTGATTCGGGAATTTGTCTTAAAATCAGGACACCCTGTTATTGCAACTGTACGTTCTGTAGACGTATGAAGACTAGATTGAAGTTCCTGGATCTGAGGTTCTCACAGCGGTGGGTATGAAGATACGAACGCCGAAATATAACACAGCACAGTATCATTGCAACTCAACAAGCATCCACGACAACACTGGAGACATCTTGAAGCATCGGGTCCAATAAAGGAGACACGTGAACACAGTAATTCACAACACACATCGACATCCTAAATTTCAGTCACCTATAATTTCATATATAGGAATATATTCGGTTCACTTTTATCTCAGCAAAAACGCTGACTTCGTCACGGGAACACACAGTGTACATTTGCAAACGCCGGTCACGATTCCTCACAAGAGCAAGGAACGTAAAGATAGCTTGACGACGGTCAGGTCGAAACACGCAGCTCATAGCTAAAAGTTTATGCGCGGTTATGTTGACGGACTGCCGGCCTTGCACGGAGTTGGTCAATGACTCATTCTATGTTATCCAGTATAAAAAGGTATCCCTGTAACTGGCCGTGGAGACCCATAGGGTTGTGAGACATCGAAGCTCTCATATATCCTAGACCAGTCATGTCCAACTTCAAACAGGTTGTGACCGACTTTTTAGTGTCAAAAAAGAAAAAAGAAAAAGAAAAGTGATCTACCACCCCCTCCTATCGTCGTACCTCGCTTTAAGCAAAAATATTGGTAAAAATAACACGACACATGTTTGTTGTATGAGCAACATACATTGAAAGTACAGACTACTTTAACACGTATTTTCCCTTCAAAATCTGAATATAATCATATGATATTACAAGTGAATTTACATGCTTTTCACGTATAATTTCCTCATAGGCCTATGAGATCGACCAAAAATCGTCCCGCGATCGATGCATTGGACATGCCTGTCCTAGACAATCAGCTCACAGATGGCGGTGAGGTCAGCCTTACGCACCGGCCGCCCATTATCGGTATTCATTTCTGTTAGAGGCTGAGTCGACTCAGAGCCATAGCGCGGCTGGAAGGATTAGGTCAATTGAAAAATCCAATGACCTCATCGTGAATCGAACCCGCTATGTTCCGGCTTGTAGCATAGTGTCTTAACACTTAGTTTGGAAGGACTGCGCGGCGTCCCCGGGACTGTTTGCAAAAGAAAGGCCAGAAATCGTACTTTTATAATACATATAAGTTAAAACCGTTTAAGAACATGTTTACCTTTCGCCCTGGAGTTCTCTCTTTATTAAAACACAGACGAGGGAACGAACTTTAGTAATAATATTCTATATATTTTATTCTCCCTTTCGATTTTGACGTCTTTCTAAAATCCCTGGAAGGGAGCAGATGTCTGTCCACCTGTAGGCTCCCAAGATCGGGGTTCAGAATCCTTATCGAGAAGCTGGTAGTCGCCCAGCTGGTCCAGAAATTCCTCGTCTTTTGTAGAATATGAAGGTTTGTTACCGTATTCACAAGAGCCCACCACCGTTCCCAGTCTTCACCCACATGAATCCAGGCTACCATATCCTACTTATGTAACATCCACTTTAATATTATCCTGTCTCATCTACATCTTGGTCGCCGAAGTGACCTCTTCCCTTCAGTGATGATAATATGCACTACTTCCCGTATTTAGTGCTTCATCTCTTGGAAGGCATACGCACAGATGGAAGGATAATGAAATGCAGCGTGAAGCGTGGAATGGATTCATCTGGCCCAGGATAAGGTCCAGTAGCGGGCTCCTACGAATACGGGATCCGTAAGGAAGCTTTGCTCTGTGAAACGTAGCAAGAGACTGCGCGGCTCGATAAGGTGCGCTTCCTGAAATGTGATGCTGTTGACGAAAAGGGCACGGCCGGACTTGGGCACTTAGCCTGAGAGCAAAGCAGACCCGCACGACGCACTGCGCTCATGTCGTCACATTACAGCATAAACCAAATGCAATCTGTGGGCGCGATGGTGTCAAGATCTCAAGAAATGCAGTTTTCTTGCAATTGACACAATTCCTGGAAGCTTAAAAGATTTTCTTAAATGAAAAATGACGCACATCAGCAACTGTCAGAAGTCACCACTTCGATCGCCAGAATGAAATTATAAAGGTAACGTGATATCCCTGTGACAGACCTCGGAGGCCCATAGGCTTCTGAGACGTCGAGGCTCCCACATTTTCTACACAATCGGCTCACAGATGGCGGTGAGGTTGTCAATCTTAAGCGCTGGCCGTCCTTTAACCCCAGGAAGATTCTCTGCACTCATTTCTGTTAGAGGCTGAGTTGACTCCAGGACCATAGTGCGGCTGGTAGTATCAGGTCAATTAAAAAATCCAATGATCTCATCCGGAATCGAACCCGCGATCTTCCGGCTTGTAGCATAATACCTCAACTAACTACGCTACTAAGCCGTTACTTAGCAATGAACTATTTCCGCTTCCAGGAGTCATGTCACATTACCAAAGCTCTGCATTCTGCCCACACAATGTATTTATTTATGTTCCGTAAGATTTTCACAATAAAGGGCGGCTATTTCCCTGGTCTTTGTTACGGAGACGGGGTGTTCCGTGAGAGGTACGCAACTGAGCAGGTTGGATCAGCAGTAATGACTACAGTCATATTCGGGACGTGCTCAATTCGAATCTCTAATGGGACACCACCGACTATCGTGGTTTTCAAAAATCCCTCAAAATAGTCCGGGATAGCACCCCAATTATGTCACGGCCGCTTCCTTCTGAATCCTTTCCAATTAATAATTCATCAAGCATCGTACCATTCGACGTCAATACTGACAGCATTACAAAATATGTCACAAAAATAATAGAATATTTAAATACTATTTAGGTGAGCTTCAGGCTTGGAATGGACAATGGTTGGTAGGCAACACGGCGTGCGCTCCTCACATCGTGGCAGAATGAGCTACATTCATCCACTCCAAGTTTAAAGCAAAAATGACCAAGTGACGAACTCTTTCTTTGAAATTCTTCTCATGCCGTCCGGAGATGTGTGTGACATCTCGCATTTGCAAGTCTCCCCACTCGCTTATTTACCAGATCGGTTTCTCTTCTACCCTGAAGATGGAGACAGTCCTTTGCTCGAAACGTAGGTAAAATATTATAGCATGTAGACCCGTTTCTAAGTAATGGCTCTATAAACAACTCCCGTTGCTAGGCAACAGATTCCTAAGACACACCAATGGACTAACTGGGAAACTGTTCTCTATGCGGTCCGTGCGACAGCTGCGTGACCAAACAATAGAATTCCTGTTGGAAACGACGTTTTCTATCTGGTCCGCTCCGAGAATATACCACTCGATCGACCGAGTTCGGTTCAGTGCAGAGAAGTGCAGTAGAGCGGAGCGAGTTGGTTGGTGAGTGAGTTAGTTAAGGGGACTGCTGCGGTTCAGTCCTTGTGCTCTAGTAGCTGGTAGGTGGTAGATGAGGCATGCGGAAAGATCGGGAACCGAGAGGAAGGGGAAGGTCCGCTGTTAGAAGCCGTTGCCAGGCAACGGCTGGTGAAAAAGCAGCCTGAGAAGACTTAGTGCGTGCTGTATGGAACTGCAGAGTGTGTCAATTAGCGATAGCGATATAATTACTTGTAGTTAAGTTCTGTAAGTGTTCAATAGATCCAATGACCAATCGAAACTCCGTCAATAGTCACTCAAACAAGTGACAATATGTACCAGACTACACGGCGTCATATACAAGAAGAAAGCACTCTTCATGCAGTATTTAGATGAAACATGGTTTAAAAACGACACAGACATTGCTCACTGGGAAATTAATTATGGATGAGTCAGTTTGAGCTTTGTTGCTACGGGGTGTACTGCGTGCGGCGCTACTCAAGTAAACTCTCGGGTGCGAGCAGAACGCCTGCTGTTCGTGAAGCATTTAGCAATGCGCAGATGTGACCTATAAGCTTGCAGGCACACTGTTGTGGTTTGGGTTGCATTTTAAATGGTACACCCTACAGAATTGTGATAGGCCGATAATATTGTAGAGTGTAGAGTCGTTGCTATGCAACGACCGCGGGATGGGCGGATATACCAGGGTCGTTTCTGGACAACGGCTCGGTAAACACGTTCCCGCAGCAACAGACACGAAAGCAGCAATAGAAGAACTGTTTTCTATGTGATTCGTGCCGAGATGTTATTAGCAAGGGACAAGGTTTAGAGCTTAGTCAGTCGTGTACGGGAGTCGCTGAAGAATCTTCACTGTTTAATTCGGTTGTGAGGAAACGTCTACAGTCCATTCCCGGAGACGAGTGAGTCCTCGTAAACAAATGCACGCGGTATCTCCTTCGCTCTTTGAATGAAATCATGCAGGGATCACGTGATGCGTGTACCATTGCAGGGGCGTCCAAAGTTCACTCTTCAGTCTGAATGCAAGTTAACGTGCGTCCGAATGCAGTGAGTACGCTGAAGTAACTGCGTGCTTTGTCCACTCCTTGCTGTCAGCTGTGGCGACGCGGGGCTTGACTTGTTTACGCTGTCTCGTCTCCGCGAATGGACTATAGTGAAGACACCGCGTACTGGAGAAGACTTGGCGTGTGGCGATTTGTGAAGTGTGGAAATCAGCGGCAGTGTTGTATTTCTTTGTAACTGCGACCTGTAAGTGGTCAATAAATCCAACTGCCAATCCGAACCCCGTCTATAGTCACACATACTAGTGAAAATATACTGTGATTGTATATATATTACTAGGCAACGGCTCGATAAACACGTTCCCGCTGAGGCAGATTCTTGGTAAACATCAAGTTGCTAGGTAAACGCGTTCCAATGACTACGCGACAATAGTAGACGTCCATTGCCAGGCAATGGACGTGTTTTCCGCGAGGTCAGACCATAGGCTATATAAGAGTGAGTGACTCTGTTTCCAGAAAGAGGATTACCCGTGTGGAGGCGGGGTCGAATACCTCCACTGTGTCCCTGAGAGTCGTAGGAGGCGATGAAAATGGAAGTCTCAAATCTGAGACAGTAAAATATGGTCGCCAGTACCAAGGGACTCGGACCCGAGGAAGACTGCGCTGGCAAGCGCAGCAGCATGTACAAAAGACAGACCTGTCCTCTCGTCAGAGAGGGCGCCCCACCAAAATAAGACCGTAACTGTCAAAGAATAATATACTCGTATATATCTGGTCATGAGCCCCGACCGTCAGTCGCAATGTGACTTTGACTTTGACTTCCAGGAGGAGTGGATTCGTGTAGTGTGGCCAGAAGTGTACTGTCCAGTCGAAGATAGTGATTTGTGAAAGGTCCAATAAATTCGACTACCAAATCCAAATCCGTTTTCTAAGTCACGCAAACCACTAATGCGTGACAGTACTATGCTGGATTAGCTGGCACAGAGTTCAGTCCCGAAATAAATTAATTAATAGAAATAACAGAATTCAGTACTTATTATAGACGTTGAGCTCTACAGCAGTGTCTGCCAGAGTCAATTACTGACATGGACCTCTGAACAAACCTGCTCCTTCGAACAGCAGAAAACCCGACATGGAACAGCTTCGCCCGCCAGACATGCTGACGGATCGTAGGGAAGAAATCGCGTGGGACGAGTCTCGGAGCCTGCAACGGTTAGGCTGATGTAATCCGATCATGACCATGTTG